AGAAAAGGATTTTGGGGGCTGAATGTGTTTTGTTGTTGGTGAAAATATGTTTGTGACCAGCAATAAAACCATCCTGGTCCTGTCCAATGTGCTGCCATCTACCGACACTTCCAATCCGCGCTATAACATCCCTTTCATCCCAAATCCCCTGAAGCCAAAACACAACCCAACAACACTGACACTACCGCCGCCCACCAAACATGTCCAACATGGATGTAGTCAAATGGCATCTGTGTTTACTTACAAACGACTTTTCTTCAAGCTTGACAAGGAGTCTGGCAAACCTTCAGCGACGTAACTGAATTCAAAGGATCAAAGACGTTCAGGTCAAGAGGGCTGCACCGTTTATAATAATAAAAACACTTCCGGCGTTGACATGTAATTTGGTGGACATGTCTATCATAACCGGACGTACAAACAAGTCTCAAGGACACGTGCCTGAAATGAACAGGAAGTCGGCCATTTTGGTTTGAAGAAACCATTTCGGGGCAATTCCAGGCATTATGCTTGTAATAAAGTTAGAAAGAAAATCAACCTCTGACAACAGTTTCACTGATCATCATGAAATTGGGTGGACACGTGTTACATTAAAGGGTCCACAAAAAAAAAAAAACCTCTTCAGGACCTGAACCTGAAAAGAAAGTCAGCCATTTTAATTTGAAGGAACCGTTTTGGGAAAATTCCAGGCCTTGTACTATTTAAAGATGTGAGGAAAAAATAATCTACCCCTTACAACCTGTTTCACCATTTTTCATGAAATTGAATGGATGTGTCTATCATAAAAGGACGCATAACGGTCTCAAGGACCCATGGTTAAAATCAAAAAGGAAGTCAGCCATTTTGGTTTGAAGCAGCCACTTTGGACAAATTCCAGACCTCATTCTTTTTGTCAGGAAGTTAGGAGGAAAAAATTGCCCCCAACATCAGTTCTAATCAATACGAAATTACATAATGCATGTTACAAAAGGACGCACAAAAACATCCCAAGGAACCATGCCTGAAATTAAACATGTCTACTAATGGTTTCAAGCAGCCACATTAGGTGAATTGAGCAGTTCCGACTTGAACAAATTCCTACAAAATAATTCACCAAAATGAAGCCCAATCCTAAGCAGAAATCCGAAACAGATGTCACACCAAATCGCAAAGCCTTTTTATCCAACGTTGAATAAAAGTTGAATGCACAAATCATTTTGAAAATTTGCCATGAAAAAGGAAGTACATGCATCACTGCTTGTAGCTCCTAACAACATATTTGGTTCCAAATGTCTCTCACTTCTCCTCCCATCGGCATGCTCAGTTTGTACAGAGAAGTACAGTACAGTGGGTAACAGATTGGAAATCAGAGTTTTTATGGCACGGCAGAATAATACTGTGACGCACAGCTGCATGCTGATAACTGGCAGCAGGGCGCTCCCTTGTGTCACACCATTCATATTCACATTGACGGCTATTGACAAATCTTCAGTGAGGCCAACATGCGTTTTTGTTTGTTTGTTTTGTTTTTCATATATTTCACACCGTTCTTTCTAACGTCCAATCACTTCTTTCTTCTTTCTTCCAGATTTACGCAAGCGTTCAAAAGTGGATGACAACTGCTGCGCCGACCTCTCACACAAGGAGAGGCGACCGTCCGACTCGCCGTCTGAATCGGGATGCTCCGAGGAAACTTCACTGGAGAGTCCGCCGTTGAGGTCCGGCGAGGAGGCTCCGCTGGCGTGTTCCGCTTCCTTATCTCTGGCTAGTCCCTCTAGGTGGGCCTGGAAGGTGGCGGTCTGCTGTTCCAGGGACAGAAAACTCTCCTGCACCTTGTCAAACTGTGACACACGAAGACCCTTTCTCAGTAAAGAATGAAGCGCAACAGCTGGCATAGATAGATAAACATTTCGTTTGCTCCATTTTTCTACCCGCTCCATGTTGGACTGAAGCAGCAATTCCGGCCACACTGACTCACTATTGCAGCCTCTGAGTGTGTTGCCTGCATGGCTGTGACTCCACATCAACTCCTAGAAGACAAGCCGAGACTGAGGTGGAAAAGGTGAGCAGAGGCGGAGTTCCTCAGGGCTGAGGAGATGACGTTTACCTGAAGGAGCTGTGTGTTGTCTTTCAGGAGAGTTTGGCAGTCGTCTAGTTGCTTCCTGTGGTGGCTCAAGACTGCAAATAAGGTCTTTGCAGATACATGAAATGTCAAGGTTAGGCTTCATTAGCTGGATGTCACCCTATTCCAATCATAACAGGACACACGAAAAAGTCTCGAAAACTCGAGTCATCCAGACGACATCCTGAACTGGTTTCCAGTCAGTCACAGGGCACATACACATGCATTACCTCGGCGTTCTGGTGAGCCGAGGCCAAGTCTGCCCGGTCTTGATCGCCCTCTCTCGTGAGCGTGACTCCAGTGTGGAGCTCCTCCAGTCTGCCCCAGCGGAGGTCCACGCCCTCCTCCAGCTCCTTTACAGCGGCCTCAAACTCAGCCTGGACCCGGAGCAACCTCCTCAGCGAGCTGCTCCTACACATGGAGAGAAGCTTCTTGACTGAGGAGCACCCATGGCATTTTATCACATCTAATTCCATACTTTCCATATCCGTGAAGGAAGTCTGCACTTACCTTTTCCGCAGGTAGCTTCGAACGAACGTCACTTTTTCAGTCAGCAAGCAGTCCTGCTCCATGGACTGCGACCCCGGGTGAACTTTATCAAGTGTGTGAGACACGGACTGCAACGAGGAGAATGAATGAGGCCCTGACATGTCACCTGAGAAAATAAAGACTCACCTCCAGTGTGGAAAGGAGACCCTGCACATGAAGGGCACTCGGGTCTGCCAGGGGCTCCTGGAGGATGCTCACTAGCAGGCTGTCGGCCAAGGCAAGACCCAGAGGACTAGGGACACTTGAACTTGTTGACCTGAAGACATCAAGTCACAACATTTGGTATCGGGAATCCCAGCATATTCACTACAACAAAAGGTAGATTATATCTTTGTGGGAGTGAACCTATTCGCTTTTTTGTGCTCTGGCCAAAGCAGTAACAGTAACGCATTCCTTGACCAACAGGGGGCGATACACAACACTCAATCACACGACACTAAGAAGTGTTTCGCAACTTAGTGACTCAGTAAGCTGCAGTAATATTGTTGAGTGAAAGTGTTTCATTTAGAGCTTTTCCACCATCTTGTGGCACCTGTAGGCAATTACAAACCCATTTAAGGAGTGTCGTCTATTCACAGATTTTCACTCTTTAAAGCAGGACTGCATCTAGAACATTGTGCTGTATATATAAATAATAATAAAAAAAAATACTTCCTCACCGCTCAATAGCCTTCATCTTGCTTTGAATGACAACTTCCTCTCGTAACACAGGAGCGGGTTCCTGTCTTGAGGTCAACCGCAAGTAGCGCAGCAGCACATAGACGCAGCCCCCCAGAGTTCCCCACAACAGGCACAGCAGTGCCGCTCGCGAACACACATCTGCTAAGGACAGTGGCGCCCCCATGTGGCAAACAGACCACAATGCAGCTGCTGGCAGGAACGCGCAGCATCCTCTGCAGGATGAGATCTTCCACCTTGTCTTCCTCCACATTTGTGTGTTTGATGAGGTCAGCGGTGTCTGAAGATCATGTGACGGTTGCTTTGAGCTGCACACACGTAAAACATCAAATTAAACATGGTATATACTGTAATGGGTGGCAAAATGGACAGAAAGGGTACTTTATCACAGCGTTATCAATGGGTTAATAATAATGAGATAAACAGTTCATTAAATTATGATTACCACTGTTTTCAGCAGCATGTAGGGCTCGGAATTTGGCAAGTGCAAGGTACCAAATACAATTTATAACGTTGAAAGGGGCAAAGCAAGACAGAAGAGATTAGGACTTGACGGATTGAATCGGATGGATATTAGCTCTCATAAAATTGGCAATATTCGGTAGATTTTATGCTCATGTTTTGTTTAAACACACATTAACAACAAACAAAATAAGACAAAGATAATGACATTCAACCCCACCTCCCCCATATAAAAAAAATAAAAAACGGCAAATGTTTCCCCCCTGTTGTAAAGTGAAATACTACAGGACAAAGTGCTGTAAAATTGTCAAATGTTCAGCCTGTAATTCTTTTGTTTTTGACAAAAAAGAAGCTCGCTAAAAGGAGTTCACTATTTTGCAACTCCTAGCCACCTCATTCCATTTACAATGAGCAAATGGACAGAGATAAACGGTGACTCACTATTTGGCAAGCGATAAGAACTGCATACCATTCATAACTCCTAGCAAAACAAATAATCAGGGGACCACTATTTGGCAAGGAAACCGACACGTTCAGAAATCTTTTCAACGTATTTATTACAAACCAATCATTTGTTGATAGAGGATAGGCACTTTAAACTGAAACACTCACTATATTACCACAACCTAATTGTTCATTGATAAATGCAAATAATCCGATAGCTGTTCATAATACCTTGTACTTCAAATGGAATGTTCTTCTCATCAGAGTTGTCTGTTAAGACGTCCGCAGTTGCCATCTTTCTACGCCAAAGAAGTTGAGTGACACAAACTCACCTGTGCGCCTTTTTCGAACACTTCTGGACAGGTTCTCCTCCCTCGCACACCCCGAGACTGGCCCGGTCCAGGACCCCTTCCAGGGAAGTCCTCGAACCAGGACCCGAGCCCGCATGACCTCCGACACCGCCGAACGTCAGCTGAGGCATGTGCCGCCAGTTGACATGCTCTGTGAAAGTGGGGTAAAGAAATAGAGCAGCATGCCAATGCCGAGAGTCTTTCGATTTACCGGCCAAGCTGGTCGAACAGGTACTAACCGTGAGATTGATGGACATGCCCCACTTTTGAAAGTGATATACTGCTGATATACAGCAATACAGAAATACATTTCAAATCCACCCCCTATGGTCATGTATGATATTAATTGACAACAACAAATTATGATTTAATTTAAAGCATTTTATTTCATTAACAAAAATGTTTTTTCTATTGTAGGGTTTTTTTTCCTGTACACTGTGAAAACAATTGCTATAAAGCCCAGATTTCCGCGCTATGGCTTGGGAATACTGTTAATCTAACATTTTGGAACAAAACCATGACAACTGCGCCATTATATTGGAAGATTTTCATTTTCTGTCACAATTTTCATTCACAAATAAATGACTTTTCTGGTTACTTCAAACGCATAAAAAGCTTTTCTTTGCACTTAAGCAGGGCATGATGTTCGAAAAGCTGCAAATCATTTTGAGACTTCGTCATTTGTTGACATCTAGCAGCATGTGGCACATGAACAAGAAGATAACACTTGACAAACACATAAAACTGTGCTGGTCTTCATTATTTTGTCTTCTGTAAATTCAGCGAGTCTTCATCTGTAATTAGCCCGCGTGCTTAGAACCTGCCATTGGGCAGGATTGGGAGTGGGAGGGGACTAGAAACGAGGGGTTTCAAAGTTCAGGAGGATTTAGGGTTTGGTGATGTGGACCTCGCTGGCGCCGCTCCCATTGGTGGTGGTGGTGATGATGTACTGTGTGGTGGCTTGCTCCAAGTGTTCGCCAGGGTTTGGACCCGAGCTGACGGGACCCGAAGGTTTGGCGTCCAGCTCCGTCTGACCTTCAGAGATGACGTAGTGCGTCTGGAGGGACCAAGAAGAGAATCACATCCATGTGTGTGCGTGTGCTTATTGTTCGTCAGCATTCATGACACCCCAAAAAATGGCGCACAGTGTGAAGACAACACTGCGGCTGAAATGTAGGGGGGGGAATAAAAACTGTATGTGGTTGTGCAAAATAAAATGAATAATATAGATTTTTGTCTATGCCCGTTTCATGACCAATTTTTAAAAAAATTATCCTGTTGAACCACAGCAGTGTCTGATGTTCACTCCTGAATGTTCATTTCATTTTCATGCATTATTACGATTATTTCTTCATTTATTTTTTGTCTTTCATAACACGCTAAGCTTCCTCATGTGCCTCTTTTTTAAAAATTCTTGTCATTTGAGTATTTTACTGAAGTAAAAATATGTTCTACTATTTCATTACTGGTTGATGGCCAATCGAGGTATACAAGTAAACGGAACCTAATTGACAGGCCATCAGAACAGGACTTCTGGTATCACAATCGCTAGGTGCTGCATTTTCTCTCTCTCTCTCTCTTTCTTTCTCTCTCTCGGTCTCTCTCAAGCAAAAGGATCTTTGGCCCGGATTTGACGTGCACTCACCGTTTTCACCTGGTTGCTGTTGGCTCCAGTCACCGGCGTGGTGGCCTCGGCGATGACGTACTGAGCATGGGGCAGTGTCATCATTTGGATCTCGGAGGCTGCTTAAGTAGAAGTACATATACATATAAAAAAGCCTATTTACACCAAGTAACAAGTAGAAAATACAGATATCTGCTATCAAACGTAGGGAGCAAAAAAGGTGTCAGATAAGTAAGTACTCAAGTACACCTACAGGCTTCCCTCACTACATCACAGGTTATTGTTTGCACCCCGGCTGTTTTTTGGTTTTTTTTTTTTCCTTCAGATATCAGACAGAATTGTCTGTCCACTCCCCACAATGTACCGAAACAAGCAGGGCAGCACAGAGGTCGACTAGAAGAGCTCGCTGATCATTGGTCACATGACAGGAAGTCATGATCATGTGCGCTACAGACTGGACTCACGGTAGCCTCTGTAGTTCCAGTTTCCAGGTATGTAGGCATGCTGCACCGCTCCCTGCTGCTGCTGTTGCTGCTCCTGCTGTTGTTGTTGTTGTTGCTGTTGCTGAGGAGTACCACTGTCCTGAAGACCTTGGTTCTGAGCCAGCGTCACAGGGGTCAGCTGGGGAGGACTTGGCTCCTGATTGGTCTGTTGGGAGTTGGGGCTCAGCGGCTGACCCGTCGTCACCTGGGCGAGACGTCAGAGATGCTAGCTCAAAAACAAGAAAGCCAGTGTTTCCCACCCTTTATTGAGCAAAGGCACATACAGTATGTTTCACGGGGAAATGTGCTAAATCCATTTTAAGAGTAACATTGGATTGAAAAGTCCAAATAATCCATCAATATCAAATTTTGACCCAGTTATTTTATTGAACACATTGTGATGCACGAAGGCGAGGGCTTCTACCTGAGTGACAACTTGCCCGGAGGCCGAGGGCTCGGTGACCTGGATGTGCTGCACCTGGATGGAGTGCTGGCTGTAGCCGTGCGGGTCGTGCAGTTGGCCCACGTCCACTGTCTGCTGCTGCGAGTGCGCGGAAGAAGCCTGGGAAAAAAACACAAACATGAGGAGCATGAGGTCCTTTCGCTTGCTTCTAAATGATTTAAAGCAGGGATACTATATCAAAAAAATGTCATGGCTTGTATACAAATAGTTGGGCTTCAAATGTGAAGCAAGTGCAGAATGTCTTCTTTAACCCTGTAAAAAACAAAAGTTTTAAGAAAAATGTCATGGCTTGTATACAAATAGTTGGGCTTAAAATCTGAAGCAAGTGCAGAATGTCCTCTAGAACCCTGTGAAAAAAAAAGTTTTAAATAATTGACTGAAAATTATTCAAAAACATTTTTTTGGTGGGGGGAGGCCTCTGTGCTTCTTTCAGAACAAAACAAATTTGTAAAATTAATTTCCATTTCCTACACTTGACACTTCCCACTAGGTTCAACTTAGCTCCTCCCTGACATTCCAAGTTCCAAAAATAGACAAAAATGATCGTTCTTACCGGCGCAACCTGGACCCCCACCTGGCCCACCGGCAGCTGAATGTGCTGCGGCTGGGACAGGGTGCTTCCAGCCTGGGAGACGGGGATGTACTGGATCCTCTGGTAGTCTCCCTGTGGTGTTCTGTAGTCGGTAGTCAGCGTCTGGGAGAGCTCCGTCATGGCCTGTGTTAACAGGTCAGTGGTCTGCGGACAAAAAAATGTCGCCAGGCAGTCAATGTTTCAGGTGCTTTTAGTCGCATTTTCCTGAATGACCTCAACACAAAGTAGTTGTGTTTGAAGTGATTGTAAGGTTCTCTTCCCCTGTATTTTTTTTTTAAACCCCTTCAGGGACAGCGGTTACTACAGTGGACAGCTTATCATGTTATCAGGTTCCAAGGTGCATGAAATTGTGAATAAACACAAGCAATAAATTCTTCTGGATGACAATAAACACACATCCAGGGCTTGATGAGATGTGAATTGATGAGAAAATTCCATTCTCCGACGCCGTGAGGGCGATAACTTACCACAACAGCCTCGGCGGTGGCGCCGTCGGTGCTGATGATGGCCGGCGTGCTGCTAATGACGGCAGTCGCCAGGGGAGCTTGAATGGTGTTGACGAGCTGAGCAAACTCGGGATGCTTCTTCCGGATGTGCTGCACCATCTTAGTCTGAGAGAGAGAGAGAGAGAGAGAGAGAGAGAGAGAGAGAACACACACACACACACACACACACACACACACACACACACACACAAAATAGAGTGCTACCTTGAGATACGAGGGACACGACTTGAGAGTTATTCGTCGGATGCTATGCGTGGACTTGCGAGCACTGCAAGGTGCCACTAAACTCAATTCAACTCACTGAATAAAAAGCAGCAGTTTGGCAAATAGAGAACAATTATTTTTTTAACAAAGTATTTAAACTGTTTGATGCCAATTTTTTTTTTTAAAAATACAACACACATAAGAAGGGAAATCTGTGTTTTAAGAACGGCTGACAGGCTTAATACGAACATATGGGAAATGCCAATGAGATGCTAATAGTTAGCATCGACATTTTGACTCATCAACAAATGTAGACAATGTAAAAACACGGACAGTCAAATATTCTTAATTCTCAGTGAAAACTGTTGCATCTTACAAAAACCGTACTGTGTAGTAAGAGAAGAAAAGGTATTCTTCGTCGTTTGTGTCTGTGGTAAACAATACTGCCTCCCGGTGGCCAAAACAGGCGCACCAGAACGAGCGGCACACTGAATTGGATTGTAAATCAAGTAAAGGCAGGCGGCGTGAGCAGTGGCTCACTTGCCCGAGAGAGAGAGAAAACGCCTTTGCCTGTCACTATGTGTTGCATTTTCATCATTTGCCGATCAATCAAGCAAAATTGGATCGATTCCCAATCGCTACTTACCAACATGACCATAACACGAGGAGGTGAATTTGCAAATAGTGAGCCGCGTGTATGACTTGGATCTTTCACTCGCTCACCTTGCTGCTGTACTGCTTGGCACAGTGCGGGCAGCAGACGGGCGCAAAGGCGATGGTGCCGGCCAGCTGTGTGTGCGTGGTCAGCATGGGGTCGGGCTCGCCGGGAGCGGCCGGGCGCAGCTTGCGGATGCTGGGCGGCAGCTCCGCCCCCGGGTGGTTCTTCAGGATATGCGACTTCCTCTTGCTGGCGCTCTTGTATACCTGATGGACAAGATGATGATCATGATAATGATAACTTTGTTTGTATAGCAGCTTGAAAAGCATATTGACAGAGTCACTTTGGGGCCGTTCCACTGAATTAGCGACACGACATTGGGTGTCGAAAGGCTCAGGCTAACCGGAAGCTTTGTTGAGGACAAGCGCAATAGAAAACAGATGGAAGAAGCGTGCTCGTCCGGCCACCTTGTCACAATATTGGCAGAAGTAGTCCCTGTTGGGCTTGATGATGGGCAGCGTCAACTCGGGGACGTCGTTCACGCGCATCTCAGGGTGCCGCTTGGACAAATGATTGACCTGCGACGACAAATCACCGACATTTATACCGACTCTCGTCTCATTGACACGTGACGTCGCGCTTTCCGGCTCACCAGCATTCCTCTGCGTCGGAATCCCATCATGCACAGTCTGCATTTGAACATAAAGCTCTCAAAGTCGGTGGTGGGCGTCTTCATTTTGTGGCTTTTGGAGCGCTGGATGCGTTCGGCTTTCTTGGCCTCCCGTTCAGGATTGTGCATTCGCTGCATGTGCTCTCGCAGCTTATCTTTCCTCTGGAGAAATAAAACATCGTTTCGTGTCATACAGGGGCTCTCAAACTTTTTCTTCAATTTTAGTTTCGCTAACTATTATATTCTTGGCCAGTGGGGATATAACACCCCTTTTTATTATTATTATTTTAAATGATACAAACATAATTTTGTTGCAAATTATGTTCCAGACAACCAAGCTACTGCAGACCGTAACGAAGGATTCAAACTTCCTGCACCGCGGCCTCACCTTGAACTGCTTGCCGCACGTGGAGCACAGGAAGTCCCTGCGATCGGAGTGGCGTAGCATGTGCAAGCGCAGCTTGTCGGGGCGGCAGAAAGCCTTGTCACAGTTGGGGCACTGGAAGATTTTCTCTGAATGGAAGCAGCGGATGTGCTTCTTCACCTGGTGGGGGGGAGAAAAAATGGGAAAGACCTCAAAACAAGACATGCTACAAATTACAGAGGTACCTTAATTTAAGGCTTTTCATGAATTCCATGACTGACAGCCCACAGAGTCTTAACATTATGAAGAGTCCAGTAATATTTGGTGCATTCATTTAACAGAGGCTTTTATTATATTTAATGATTCATTTTTTTTTTAATTTTTTGTATCTCACGAATAATTAACAGATAAACAAGATAATAATTCAATAACTGCTTAGTTGATGGAAATGAGAAAATGTATATTTATTTTTTAATTTTTTAATTATATAATGAGAATTAACAGAAATATAATAATAATAATACTACTAATAATAATAATCATAATAATAATAACATCAAAGTACCAGTACATTTCTACACTTTTGCATTTGGTTAAACCACACGTAGCTTGCAACTAGTCTCCTTGCGCACTGTACAAAAAAACTGCCCGCAGGATCTCTTTGTGGATGTGCCGCTTGATCATCTGGCCCACACCGAAGAGTCTCGCAACTGTTTTGGCGTACCTGGCCAAGTGCTCACCGAGCCGAAGTCGCCACGAGATACATCGAGTTGTCGCGCGTTGGAATGCCAACCTGGATGAAGTCGGGAAAGGTCTTCTTGCAGGACGGGCAGGTGAAGGTGCCGTCGACGGCGTGCATCTCGATGTGGTCCCTGAGCGCGTCGAGCCTGTCAAAGGTCTCGGCGCAGAGCAGACACGCGTACGAGCGGTTCTCGGTGTGCACCAGCAGGTGGTCGTCCAGCGCCGTGTCCGTCACAAAGGTTTTGCTGCACAGGTGGCACGGGAAGACAAAGGTGTCGCGGCCGTGCACGCGCAGGTGCTGCTCCAGCTTTTCTTTGTCACGGAAGGCCTTGTCGCAGTGTTTGCACTTAAAGGGACGGAACCTCTTGCGGATGAAGTGAGGCTGCAGTGCCGCATTCTGAAAAAACACACGGGGGGGGGGGGGGGGGCGACTGGGGGGGGGGAAGACTGTTGAGGTTACTTTGTTTGCAAATGACTTCAAATGTGAGTGCATTTGGTTTAAAATATATTTTTGTTTCATGTTGTTTTTTTTTTTCAAGCCAGCATTATCAATTTACGGCTAACGTCAATCCAAGTTACTAAACATGGCTCGGTTCCATTTTTTTTTTAAAGGTTAAACATATGGAAATTCCGAAATCTAATTTTAGTTACATAAAATGATGACATGTTTTACATGCGCTTTTTTATTTCACGTTAATATAACGTAACATCAAATACAGGAAAACTTCAAAGGTTATGTCATTAAGGCCTTATTTTCGTGTTAATTCAAGGTTAAATATATAGCGAGATTTAATTTTCTTATGGATACATCTTCATCTTAAGGTTACACAAACACATGAAGTACATTTTGGACATAGGAAACACATTGATATACAGTATCTTCGAGTTACAGATGAGATGGCATCAACCTGAGGCCTGCAAAATAAGCTTAAGCCAAGGTAAAAATCAGCATCATTTCCTTACTTGGCACAAAGTTTAAGTGCATGACATTTATCTAACTTGAAAATTACGTCCTGTTTATTGAACACCTTATCCTTACATTTGCTGGCAAACAGGAGAGCAACATACTGTTTAAAAAAAAGAAGAAAAAAATACATATTTGATGAGCGCCGATTGTAATCAATATACACACACGAATGTAGAGTTCATATATTTACGTCACAAAAACGAGGCAAGTCAGCTGCTTTTTCAGCCTTCCGTTTGGCTAAAATGCACATGTCGGGGGGGGTCCCCGCCTACCTGTACATCCGTCTTTGAAAGTGGCCCGCATTGAGAAGAGAAAACACAGTGTTGAAAAGCAAACACACACTCAAACACACCTTGTCACAAAACAAAGTGTTTGCATCTCACCCGCATCTTTTTCAGACGTCGCACATCCGGAGAGGAGAGCTGAGCATCTGACTGGTCGTTCTGTGCGGGCTCCTCCATGGCCGCGGGCGGCGCGTCCACTCTGGGGGGCTGGGCGGCGGACGGCTCCGCCGCTGGGGACACCGTTTGGCCATCTGTCTCGGCGTCCGGCTCGGACACGGTCATCTCCACGCCGTTGTGAGGCGCCTCCGTCGGCTCGTCCAGTGGTTGCGCCTCAGCCAGCTCCAGCATCTCCTGAGAAAATGAAAAATCAAACAAAACACGGAGGTGGAACCTTCAAGGTAGTTCATAAAATCACTAAAACTCAAGTTGGGAGAAAAAAAAACATGTTCTTGAACAAAGTCAAATCAAAACGAGAGTGTTTTTAAAAAAATGACAATTCACATATCTCGAGGCGCCACCGTATTTCACATATATTGATATGAAGACATGTCTGACGGTAGTGAAACACGAGCTACTGACCGTCATCTTTTCCGTTTCATCTTCAACTGGCGTATCTAAACGTATGAATTTTGGCGGCCGACCCGGCCTCCTCCCTGTCCCGAATCGCTTCCTGCCTCTGGCTCGGCCACGCCCTCTGGACCTGGAAGTGCACGATGACAAGGAAGAGCGGAGGGGGGAGGCGTGATATTTGGGATCAAAAGCCTCGGGGCGCACAATGAAGGCGAACGGTACCTGCTAACAGAGTAGATCATGTTGTCGTGCAGGTTGAGATGCTGCTGGAGTTGTTCTGAGCTCACGAAGCGGCGGCTGCACTCGTAGCACGGCCAGTTCTTCTCTTGCTCCCGCAGAACTGAAGGAAGCACAGAATCAGCAAAGAGCACTGCGCGTGATAAGCACAAGGGCTCAACGATTTTGAAATATAATTCCATTGCAAGCTTTTTGGCTCCATATTGCAATTGTGATTTGCGAAGTGAAAATTGCATTCTACTCCATCGCAAAGTAGATTTGAATTTGGTTAATTGTTCAGTGCTGACACCACCCGAAAAAGGTTTGTAATTGCTCATACAGGCCACAAGATGGTGACAAAGCACTACTGATGTCTAAGTGAGACTTCTCAACTGACCTTGGCACCGAGATAAAAACATCTTGCGCTGTTTTTGTGCCGATGTTGGCCCTTCCCAACCAAGGAAGGCAAACGTGCGACGATCTTATATTTTATAAGATCTTCCTGTAAGATTATCCTTGACTCTGAAGTGTGTTACAATTGCGGTTCTCCCGAAATTAGGGTCTGAATCGGGTCAGGACCAACACTCTTAAATATTAACCGAATGCAGCCACTGAAAAGAAGTGCCCTGACAGACAAACAAGGAAGTGGCAGTAAATAAAACAAAATATGTCCTATTCAATTTTTATGGGCAACTTAAGAGTCTTCAATGAACATAATATAATTTTTGTGCTGTGGTAGGAAATCCACACAAGATGAATACGCTCACCTTTTCTCTCTTCTTCTGTCACACTGTGAAGCTTCTGATTGACAAACTCTGCGTACGAGGCTGCATACCACACCTGCAAAAGGATTACAAGCATGTGTAAATAACGCTCAAACTATCTGCCCGGAAGTTGACTTCATCCATGATATCGCGCGGCGTCCACCTTGAGCTCCTGCTTGGGCTCGATGTTCTTGATGGTGGTGTAGAAGATCTCGGCGCCATATTGGTACGCCACCAGGTTCTGCTCCAGGTGGTTCTGGGCGGGCCGCACGAACATCATCCAGTTGCAGTTGTCCTCGTCAGACAGGTCCAGCCACGTGTCCTCAGATTTCGCGCTGTCTTTCTGGGTGTCCAGCACGCAAAGCTGTGGCCGCGACAGTATGTATCAACTGAATGTTAGCGAACAACAATTTATTAATTTTTTGCCTATATAGTAAATAAAAGTGTTCTGCGATTGGCTGGCAACGAATTCAGGGTGTACCCCGTCTACTGCCAAAAGACGGCCGGGATAGGCTCCAGCACGCCCGCGACCCTCGAGAGAATAAATAAGTGGTACAGATAATGGATGGAGGATGGATGACGACGGCAACGGTTTTGGTGATGCAACTTTATTTGATGGAAAATTTGTCTTAGGGTGTGTGGGCTCACTTTCAGGTGAATGTAGTTGTCCTGCAGCTCGCTCTGGGGTACCAGGGGGCCATCCACGGGGCCGAACTGGGTGCGCTTGGGGATGCGCCTCTTGGAGAAGACCCCGCCTAGGAAGCGGTCGATGTAGAGGACCAGAGGGAGACTGGCGCGGGCCCGGGACATCACTGGGCGGTTGGGGATAGGGTGAAGGGGCCCGTGGTTCAGACACTCCGAGGGGTTTGTGTTGTTGCACTCCTCACACCCTGGGGGGCATCAATGACACGCATTTTTTGGTATTACAATCTGTGGCATGGCTCATTTCCTTTAACTTTTAACGAGTGGTCACATTGAAAATACAGAATCCAGGACGCACAGAGGTGGTGAGGGTTGAAGCGCTGACGGGGCTCCCAGTCGTCTATGTCCGAATCCTCATCGTCGTTGTCTTCGTCAGACTCGTCCGTGGTGTCCATGGCCCCGAGTGGGCTGGATGGGGCGTCGGCCATGTCGGCCAGAGAGGCTAGAGAGTTGGATACTGACAGCTGCTCCTGTATGACAAGTCCGAATCCAAAATGTTGTTGTCAAGACCGACATCTAGAATTTATATCTCTCAATGTCAGTCACTCTTTGGCCTGTATATGAAAATTAGCAATACCTATACTTCATACCTAATTTAGAATGTCATTATTTTTTTTTATAAAGTGCACCAAGACTCAACATTGTTCCCCTGCATCTCAGTGATTAAAAAAAAAAAAAAAAAAAGAACTTTATGACATCAAAAGTGAGCCCTCACCTGGGAGGCCGGTTCCAGGGTGGCCTGCGGTGCATCGGCCACATTGCTGAGGACGTGTAGACTGGCAGCGTTCATGTTCTGGCCACTTGGCAGCAACACTGCCACCTTGGGATGGACAGGGTTTTACTTTAAGATTGCGCTGAAACTAGGAAAAAAAAAATTGAATGACAACCCCATCCCATGCACCTGCTGAGTCGTGCCATCTTGCTGGATGTATGCAACTTGAGGTTGATCTGCAAACACGGCCTAGGAGGAAAATCATCGTTCACATCGTTCATTGCACGCTTTCTTTTACGACAAGAATCATTTACAGAAAATTATTTTGCGGTGTGACGACCCCCATTTGAGAGCCACTCATCTCGATGAAAGAACCCTAGACAAAAAAAGGACCTATTTTAAAAACAAGCCGATCCTTACCTGGGTTCCATCCGCAGGGTGAATGTAGACCAGCGTGTGTTCGGCCGACTCCACCGAGGTGTACGAGCTGCCGTTGGCCGTGTAGACCACCTGCTGCTGCTGTCCGCGCTCTGCCTGATCCCCACCATCTCCGCTGTACACTATCTGGGCCACTGCGCCACCTTCGAAATGAACCTGCAACATAAACCAAACCAAGACAACCACCATAATATATCATTACCCAAATTCAAATGTGACTGCAGAATGTGACTACATGGCGGAGTGCAATTATGTTTGAATATTTTAAGAAGTTATTCTGAGTAGATCACAAGCCATAAAGACAAACTACTTTGGAGGTAAAGTAACTATGTGTGTGTTAAATTCAACCATGCCTTAAACAGTTTTGTATGATTCTTTCTACCTGTGTGGCCTCAGTTGAATCCGTGTTCGTGGACTCAGTCCACGCTGTGGCAGGCTCTGGCTTTGTTTCCATGGCAACACGGCTATCCGGCCTCCTGGTGGTCGGCCGTCACCGCAGTATGCTTGAAATGACCAAGGGCACGTTTATTGTCAATGAATGGCCCACATACAACGAAATTGGGGTGCAACTACAAGTTTTTGTTTTCAAAACTAAACAAGACTAAACTATGGAGTGAATATGGAATGGCTTTGTGTTCAACTAAAGAGCCCCAGAGTTCATACTAAGTGAATTTGTGACTATGACACGACATAATTTCTATTGGATATACCAAACCATGCCACGAATAGTTGAAATATCTTAAAGGTTTGTACTGTACTGTAATTGCCCATATGTAGACAAGTTCAAGGGGAATGAATACTTTTTCAAGACGCCATATGTGTCTTTGCTGAATACAGTTAGATCTTGCACTAGATCCCATCAGATTGTCAAAGTGTACCCAGAAAGTGTCAAATAAGGGTCTTTTACAGCATGTTGACATAAGCGTAAAATATAGAAAAGCCAAATCGATGTCGGACAATAAAAAGGGGTTATGACTTTTTACATAGATAAATACATTGCATTTTCAAAACAAAACAGGTTGAATACAAACATCGGGGGCAAGTGAAGTGTATTTTAGGCATGTGCACGAGTTGTCAACACACCAAAAGCAAGCGGCAGCGTGCTCCATCATACACACGCAGAGCATTCACCCTGCACACTCGAAGCGGGGGTAAAGCACACTAATGTCGGCTAAGGTTTGCCGGCGAGGCCGTCGTAGGAACCTCTGCCCCAATGCAAACGCGTGTGGTAACAACTGCAACTCTGCGTGACGATAAAAATACGACGTCGTTGGCAGATTTATCAATTAAATTAACCGAATCGATGAACGAGGTTTACCCCCCGCTTTAACTCCACAGGTTGTCGGTCCCAATCGGACCATACCACAAATTTGAACGCAGTACAATCGCACGCGTTCGGTGTTAGCATTTCGGCCTTTTAGTGCCATTGGAAGGCCGACATGTGGGGAACGGATAACATCTCGTTCACCGCGCCATCGACTACACTCTGGCATTGTTAACCAGACGTGACACAAATCAGTAAATAAATGCCTTTTTTCAGTCGACCCACCCGCCCCCCATGCTAGTTTGTCGAGCCCAGCCCTTCAAGGCGAGTGCAGAACAAGGAAGACTGGCTCCATTTTGGGTGGGACTACCAGCGTCCGAGGACATGGACGAAGAGCCGACTAGCGACAAAAATCATCTTCTTAAACGGCGCTTTCGCTCCCGAAAACAAACGAACATTTACTAATGGTATCCTAAAGGCTACTTGCGATTCGATCGGCGCTTCTCGGTGTTGGAAATCCCTCTTTTTAAGACGTTTTATGGAAAAAAGACAAGCTGTTCTTACCCCAGAATGGTAGCTGCAGCGATGGTCGTATTGCATATATTAACATAATCTGCCCAGCAACAGATGGCTATTCCTTTTCTGATAGGTGGGCATTTTCCCATCAACGACTGTGACCTCACACGATTTTAAAACTGAACACATTGACTGCAGATATATTTTTCATGTTACATATTTATTTTTCAAATAAAACGTTAAGCAGTGGTGCAATATATATTTTAAGCACTTTAATTTCAGCCAATCCGATGTTAAACACGGCTGTTATCCAATCAAAATCCACGTGTCTGTTCTCCATCCCTGGCAACGGCGACAGCGTCTCTCCAGAAAAAGTTTGCAACATGATTGTTATTGCGAACATCAGATGGCCATTGAACAACAGCAGGATTGAGATTCATTTTGAAATCCTCACCAACTGTGATTTTAGACATTTAAGTAACCAATTCTTTAAATGTAACCTCCCTGTCAGAAAATAGTTGTTTTCGACATTAGAATTGTATCTATGTTCATCAATGTCGAGAACAGAACTGGAATATTGTTAGACCGCTTGACATCCATTGATTCTGATCGACCCAGGTTACTGCTTCCTTGCAGTTTCAAGATTTTATAATAGTTGTGATAATGTATTATGATTATTAAAATATGTACAATGAAAATCACTTGAGACATTTATGCTATTAAGCGGTTTGTGTATTTATTTGGCCACTTTTGGTTTCGTAAAATCAGAAGTTACGTAACTGCTTTTACTTGTAAACCAACATAAGAAGTATTGTTCTTAAATATTAACAATTATTTGATTATTAAAAATAATTTCAGAGAAAAAAAGTGTTTGAATTAGTACTCAATTACAGATAGATTGCAAGTCCATGTTCCGCCACTAGATAATAGCACTTATTCACATACAGTAGATTCATCAATTTTCAACAGCGCCTATCCTGAACTGGTTCGAGGGGTTCCGTTTTTGTAGTACAGGATCGCGTCACACGGTGGCTTTGATTTGTTGTGTCAGTTGGTCACCTTTTTTCCATGGACTTGAACCAGTCAGTCTTGCCATCACCAGCACGGACCCTTTGAGGACACCGTTTGACTTCTTCGTGTTGCATCCTGACTGGTGCCACTGCTGCATCTTTTAGTGCTTGCATTTTTGTTTTTCAATAAAGGTTGTCGAGTGTGCACAAGCTGTGTTTTGGTGTCTGTCCTCGCCTAGTTTGGAAAAATATTTCCAACCTTAAACTGGACCATGATTCTCATTTTCCCATTGGAATTCGACTTCAGCAAGAGGACACGTCCGTCCATCTGTCCATCCATCCCTGGTGACTTAGCTTAATGATTTGTTTTCCTCGTCTCTGTCCAGTGTTGATCTTGTCATATCGTCCTTGACTTGATGGATAATGAGCCCCCCAGGGGGAGGAGCTTAATCCAATTGGACGCCAGGGAAGATCAAAGCAACAAGAGTCCAACAGTGCCTTAAGGTTGCCATCGTTATGTCATCAACACATGCTGAACATGGACTTGTTTATTGGCTCCATCGTTGGTCCTTGTGTGCGTCTCTGTGGCCTAAAGTGCATCCGAGAACCATCCTCTTCTGTCCTTGTGTGTATTCTAATGTGCATGTAACAACATCGGTCAGAGAATGCGCCCAAAACGCGTCAGTGCCACGACTGAGGTCAAGGTTTGTCACATGTTGCCTCATAGGTGGCGGCCAGCCAGCGGTCCCGCGAGGTTGTCGTCTGGGCTTTAGTGACGAATTGCTAATTAGCTACTGAGGGATCCAACGGGTTGTGTTGACGCTTGACGTCCGTCAACATGTTTAGCGACGTCGGCATAAACATGTTGATGCATTTCTGTCCCAGCTGTGTAATGCTGCCCGTCAACATTTTTGCTCATCTGGGGACAAAAAGCAAAGCAAAGTTTAGCCCATTGAATAATGGACCGGACGATGAAACAAAAAACAACTGTGTAGCTATTATTACAGTGATTTTAAAGTATTTCCTAATACCTACAAATTGATTAATACTACTATTACATACTACTTAACTACTATTTTCAACTATTACTACCGGTACTTTAAAATTCTACTTCTACCTTTAACTACTACTTGAAGTGGTACTTGGACATAAATTATGGAGGGGTGTGGGGGTGTGGGGGGGTCTTATGGAATCCCCCTGTAAATTTCCGGCTCCAAAAGCAACACCCGCATTAGATCAGAAATCCTCGTTAGAAATGATTACACCTTGAAGAGCTGTTGCACCAAGTGGATTGACGCAAAACATGGCTCCAAAAACGAGAGATGTCAATTGAAACAAAGGAACAAATGTTTCAGTTTGTTCACAGTCAGCTTTGTCTAAAATCTGAATCAAGTACAAACAAATGGGAAGGCTTTTCAAGGCAAGCAATAATGGTGGATCAAGGAAAACAGCAAAGCATCAAAACACAAAACCGGAAGCACTACACTACACTCGTTGACATGATGCTGCGTGTCAAGTCAAGGCACTGGGAAGATGTTTACCTTGACGTTTTGGATACTTTTCCTATCGCGTCAATTGAAAGGACGTTTGGTGATGATGACATCATTTGTCAAGATGATAAGGCATCTAGCCGTAGTGCAGAACTTGTGAAAATATTCCTCGGTTAATGTCGTGGCCTGCAAGTAATGCGGATCTCAATCTAATAGACAATCTTCGGCGGCGTTGAAGAAAATGGTTCATGACAAGGCCACAGCCTGCAACGTTGATCTGTCAAAAGCATCCAGAGAAAGTTGGAGCCAGATGGGTGAAGAGCATCGTTTCGCCTTGATTTTCGTGACACCATCATTTTTTTTACCTCAGAATTGAGAGAATCCATATTTTTTTTCACTCTGATTTATTTAAACAAGTGACTGTTGCTGAGTACCACGTTTTTTTTTTTTCCTGAGATTGAATGTTTCTTCAAGGCAGAAAGTTGCCATTTGACTTGACTTTAGTCTGTGAACTGTCCCCCCCCCTCCCCCCAATAATTTTTGCCTGGAGTTCTACGAGTGTGAACGAGGTCAAGTAGGTCACAAAGTCAAAACCGTAAAGACAATCAAGTTGGTCAAGATGGTAAGAAAGGTAAAGAACCAAAACAAATTAAGTATGTTCATGAAGCTCAAGACAGTAAACAATGTCCAGAAAATAACAAAAGTTAATACGTTCATGGCGAGTATGTATGAAAGGCGCTGAAAGACGAAAGCGGTCAAAAAAGGGGACGATTGAGACAGGAGGAGTGCTGAGGGGGTGTGGCCTATGTCATTTTGGTCAATAAGAGCCCCGGCGGCCTCCTCGACTTTCCTCGTCGTCACGTCTTTGTGTTGTCCGCGCGTCTTTTTAATCGAAGCGAATGAGTTTCAACGTCTTTCACTGTCACCTGGCTTGTGTTTTTCTCCCGCTTTCGCCGTCTACTAAAATGTTTTGACTTTTCCTCTTGTTTTGGCGGGAACGCGAGGGCGACTCAACACAACATTTTGTCGACGAGAACGAGCGTGCCGTTTTGATTGTTTCTCCTCGTGTCAAAACGCTTTCATTCGCTCGCCGCCGTTTCTGTCGGAGGCGCTTAGGGAAATGCAATTATGCGCTCTTGTGCTGAATGTGTTTTTGCTCAACTTTGAATTTGTCGTTTTTGTTGTTCTGACTGCATTTTTGACCAGGCATGTTGAAGTGTGCTCATTTGCACTTCCTCTGGCTCGTCTTTGAATTTCTCCCAGTCAGGTGGTTGTCGTGTAACGTGTGAGGTTTGAATGAATACTATTATCAACTTACTTGGAACCAATTTTTGCCTCAAGGCGTATGCTTTTTTTTTTTGACAGCTATTTCGACCACTGTTCGTGAGTTTTGAGGCTGTTTTAAGCCAACAGAATGTACATTATTTTCAGTGTCTTTTAGTCTCAACAAAAACAGGCTTTGACCACAATTTCTGACTGTTTTCAGTGCATTTGGAAGTTTTGACTTGGCTGTGTCTTTTTGGCCAAACAAAATTTGATTTTGAATGTTTTTATGTGCTTTTTAACACAATTTTGAGCATCTTATTTTGTTTTGATTTAATGCCTTTTGGATATGCAAATTCGCTTTTAATGTGTTTTAGTTTTTTAATGCTAAACGCTTTGGGGGGGGTTGCATTTTTTTTTTTTTTTTTTTTTTTGTGCGTTATGACCAAGTTTTGAGATGTTGACCTTTGCTTGTTGCTCGCCATCTATCTTGAAACTTTTCCCGGTCAGCCAATGGCACTTTTGTAGTGTGACATGTAAATTGCAACACTGTCAGTTGAACTTTTTTAGAGATTTTTAGTCTCACCGCAAATGCGATTTCAGCGCAACTTTTGAACATTTTCGATGCGTTTTGACTCGCGTTATTGTGTCCCGTGAACTTTGCGTCTGTATTATCACCATTCTGACTACTCCTGCTTTCCTATCATGTTTGAGTTTAAACGCTAATAAGACACATTTAACGCAACTTTTGAACGTTTTAGTTATTTGAGCGGGCGTGTTGACTTTTGCTCATTTGCGCCTCCTCTGGCTCCTCTCTGAACTTTTTGCGGTCAGTCAATGACGCGTTTCTAGCCAATAATATCAATCAATACTGCAGTTGCTTCTCGCTCACCAACTATTCATTGAAGGAGTGTTGGCGATGGAGAACGCGTCGTGGTCGTCGCCGGCGGTGTTGGAGCTGGACGGCCTGAGCGGCTTGAGTTCCCATCAGCGGCGCATTTACTTTGCGCTGGCGCTGGCGTCATACACGCTGACGCTGCTGGTGAACGTGATGCTGATGGTGACGGTAGCGGCGGAGAAGACGCTGCACCGCCCCATCTACGTGCTGGTGTGCAACCTGTGCGCCAACGGCGTGCTGGGGGCGTCGTGCTTCTACCCCAAAATGCTTCACGACTTGCTGGCCGAGGCGCACGTGGTGTCGTACGTCGGCTGCCTGGCGCAGATCCTGGTGCTCTACTGGTACGTCTTCGGCGAGTTCGCCAGCCTGACCGTGATGGCCTACGACCGCTACGTGGCTATATGTCGCCCGCTGGCCTACGGCGCCATTATGACCACGCAAAAGGTTTGTGCGCAAGGACCTTTCATTGGTTACGGTGACATTGATGTCCAGCTTACTAGCATGTAGCGATGTGTGCACGTTTTTTTGTTTGAGAAGAAATGTCTGTTTTGCATCACATTGCCTCAAGAAAATCGGCTCCAAAAATGGATTTGAAATTTCGCACAATTGCTGTTATAAGTTGTACTCTATTGGTACTTTGGAGACTTCGTATTTGCTGTTTGGCAACCGGTTCAGGGTGTCCCTCGCCGGCACCCCCAACGACCCTTTTGAGGATGAAGCGGATTGGAAAATGGATGGAGTCGCACAAATGTGTCGGCCACTTGTTGCTTTGATTTTGTCTCCCCGAAGGTTTGGCGGCTGTTGCTGCTGGCGTGGGTGTTGCCACTGCTGGAGACGATGGCGGGCGCGGCTCTGACGGCGCGCCTGCCGCTGTGCGGTCGGCGGATCCGCCGGCTCTTCTGCACCAACTGGGCGCTGGTCAAGCTGTCGTGCGCCAACACCATCGTCAACAACGTCTACGGCTTTGCGCTGATGTTCCTGCACGTGGCGCAGGCCGTCCTCATCGGCGTCTCGTACGGCCACCTGGTGCGGGCGTCGCTGCATTCCCGTCGCAACCGCCGGCGCTTTGTGCAGACGTGCCTGCCGCATGTGCTGACACTGAGCTTGTTCACCGGCTCGCTGCTCTTTGACGTTCTGTTCGAGCGATACGGCGGCGGCCGGTTGGGGGCGGTGCACCACGCGCTGGCTGTGTTGTTCATGGTGGCACCGCCCCTCCTCAATCCGCTCATTTACGGCTTCAACCTGCAGTACCTCCGGCGTCACGTGCTAGCAAACTTGACGCCGCAGCTCCGCGCTCCCTAGGGCGCTCATCCGCGGGGGCTGTCGGTAGGCGGCAAAGCACTACTTTTGCCTCAATGAAACTCCTCAATTGCATCCATTCCTTCTCTCTCCAATTCCGGGTGACTTTGGGCGAGAGGCGGGGACAATACTTTTGCTTGCTCACCTTTTCAGCTTCTTCGTCTCAATATGATTGTTTCCAAAAAAAAGCGATGATGTCACCATGTTGTTGACGTCCAACATTTTGGAGTAGGCTGAATTGCGGCGGACCAGCTGTAGGAACAGGTAAGATAGGATATGATAAGTTGCCGCAATTATTTTATATTTGGCATCTTTACACAGAATCATTTAAGCCACAGGTGTCAACCTAAAGGTCACTGGGCCATCATTTCATGTGGCCCGCCGAAGCAAATCATGTGTGTCACACGTCTACGATCTTTGCTAATATCTGGACCAAAATTTCAAATTGTCATTTATTGTAAATAATAACTTTCATAACAGCCTTCTGAGGGAAAACCTAACTACAAAGGCCTGGGACTAAATTTTGTTTGCTATCCTTGATTTAAGCCTTTCAACACTTTGGATTGGTCAAAAATAAGCAATTGTGAAAAAGAAATGAACTTGACCAAATTTGGACGTACGAGGTTTCTGGGCGACACCAGCAAGAATACATCAAATCATTTCAATCAATCACTCAATCAAAACTTTATGCAGAAAGCACTTTTCATACCGAGGTTGGAACTCTGTGCTTTATAGATCAATCAATCAAACACATGATGACAGCTGTATTCAAAATAATGTTGGGGGGGCGGGGGGGGGGATGCCTGGAGGTATAATGAGCGTTTAAAAAAAAAAAAAGATCATGAGGGCGATGTCATGATGTAGGAGGCGGCTAGTGGGCGTGCTCACAGCCCAGCAACCAATAAAGAGCAGTGCACAAGCACTAAACATAGCAGCAAGCACTCTTGTGCTCTTCATGTCTCATCCTCATCCTCATCATCATCATCGTCGTCGTCATAGCAAGATGATGACTTACTTGTCCGGCGCAAGAATTTTGATACTACGGTGAAGTAGAGCTTTACCGTTGGTGATTTGGAGGTCAAGGGGTTCACTCGACCCCAGAGAGATGCGGGGCGACTTCGGATAAAAGTAGTGCTGGGGGCTCAAATTGATGAAACGAAGTGGGTTTTGTGCTGATTGTGGCTATTCGGTGGAAAATCACAAGATCATCGAGTACTTTTATGTGTCGAAGCGTAAATCGATGACGTAATTTGTACGCTTGGCATCAAAATTGCAACCGGCCAAAAAGGCGAACACAAGTTCGGACTACAAATTGTTGAGTTGATGTTATTTTGATTGATCACTTTTATTGTTCAGAAAAGAAGTTGTTGTCTGTTCTGTTAGGAATGATGCTTTGCCCTGAAGGCTTTCACCGGCTGGTGTGATGAAGAGTTTGTCACCAGACTCCTGAAGACGGCTGAATCGTTTGCAGCGGCCACCCTACCCCGACGATGACATCTAACGTGACGTATTCCTATTTCATCCTATCTTTCTACGACGACCTGGGCTCCGCCAAGTACGCGGCTTTCGGCGCCACCGCGTTGGCGTACGCGGCGGTCGTGGCGTCCAACGCGTCTCTGGTGGCGCTGATCTACCGGGACGGCGACCTCCGCGCCCGCCCCATGTTCGTCCTGGCGGCGTCCCTGTTCGCCAACCAGCTGCTGGGCTCCACCGCGCTACTCCCGTCCCTGGCGGCGCACACGCTAAGCTCCTCTCACGCCGTGTCGCCTGCCACGTGCTTCTTGCAGATCTTCGCCATGTACTTGTACGCGCGCGTGGAGTTCTGCACGCTGGCCGTCATGTCGTACGACCGCTACGTGGCCATCTGTCGGCCGCTGAACTACGACGCTCTGGTGTCCCCGCGACGGGCGCTGCTGGCCGTGTTGCTTCTGTGGGTGTACTCGATGGCGTGGGTCGCCTCCGCGGTGGCGGCCAACGCCCGCCGGCCGCTCTGCGGAAACGTCATCCCCTCCCTGTATTGCCACAATTACCTGGTGGCCCGGCTGCTGTGCGGCGACTCGCGCGCCATCGACGTCTACGGCTTGGTGGCCACGGCGGCGTCGGTGGTGGTGCCGCTGCTGCCCGTGCTCTACTCGTACGCCAGCATCCTGCGCGTGGTGTTCTCGGGCCACCGGAAGGCCCTGCGCAAAGCGCTGGAGACGTGCGCGCCTCATCTGGCCTCGCTGGTCCACTTCAGCTTCGGGTGCACTTTCCAGGTGGTGCACACGCGCTTCGACGTCAGCGCCCTGCCGCGAGCCCTGCAGAACTTCCTGTCGCTCTACTTTTTGCTCGTGCAGCCTGTCGTGGACCCGCTGGTGTACGCGGCCCACGTGACGCAAATACGGCAAATGTGCAAGAAAGTGCTTTGCGGCCAACGGCGGGACGACGGGCCGGCGAAAATCGCAGAAATGAGGAAGCGTGAAAGGGCAAACGGGAACAAGGACATGCCAGCATGTGATGGAAATAAACCGCAAATGGTTTGCAATATCAAACAATAAAAATGACACAAATCAACAGCTGTCACGTGTTTACCCATTAACATCTTTTTTTTTCTTTGTTCGTCTCTCTGACGCCAACGACGCCCTGAAAAGAAATCAAAACAGGTCAAAACAAATCTGCCTGACTGTCCTAAAAATGTATTTAACCGCACAGTTAACGCCTTACACTGTAAAAAAAAATACAAGAACAAAAACATAACTTTTATTCTTGGGCTAAAACAGTATTTTAAGATGGAACAACTTTATTATGATTATGGTGCCATGATGATGGCAAGAATGTAAGTTAGCACACATCAAAGCAAGCAAGTCGTTTGCTCCCAAACTATTTGGTACGATTTGCCGAGTTGTTTTTCCTGATATCTTGGGGTGACAGTACAAGAAACCCCGATTTTGTGTGTGTGTGTGTGTGTGTGTGTGTGTGTGTGTGTGGGTGTTTTTAAAGTGGGTTATTGTAATGTCTACAACACGTCTACGTGATATCCACAGCTTGGCAATTGTTAACGATATGTTAGCCACAATCTTATCTATATTTACACAACATAGTGGTGCTAGGATTGTAAGACGAGTCAGTGTTCCGTGTGACATCATCACGGGACCACCACGAGGTGCTGCTGGATCCATTTGAGGTATTTGTTGACGCGCGTGTAGACGCCGTACACCCGCCGACTGCCGCATTCCTCGGGCCCCGCCCACGACACCAAGCCGAACACCACCCACTGCCGGCTGACGGGGTCTTGGGCCACAAAGGCCCCACCGCTGTCGCCCAGGCAGGTGTCACGCCCGCCCTCGTAAAAGCCGGCGCAGAACATGTTGTCGCTGACGTTGTAGCTGCCCGCGCGGGCCGCGTAGCTGGCACGACACTCGTCCTGCGGGACCACCGGCAGCCGGACGAACTGCAGCAGGTCGGAGGTCATGTCGGGGTGAGACACGCCCCACCCGGCGACCATGCCCAGAGTGTGAGGTGGGGGCGCAGAGGCGTCACTCTGTCGGATGAAGAGGGCACAAAAGTGCAAGTCAGAGATGCGTTTCCTGAGGACGTTTGACATGTTTGAAGATAAGTGCTGAGAACGTGCAAAGGCCCGGAACTACAGTCGCCTCCAAAAGTATTGGAGCGGCAAGGTCATTTCCTTTGTTTTTGTTGTATACTGATGACATTTGGATTTCAGATCAAAAGATGAATGTAAGGAAACTGTTCAGAATTCCAGATTTTATTTCATGGTACTTACATGTCGATGTGTTTAACAACTCAGGACAGAGCATACTTTCTTTGAACCCACCCACTTTTTAAGTCGACAAAAATATTGGAACAGACGTGATTATTTTAGTTTAAAGTGAATAACATGTCACATTTGGTGGCGTCGCTGAGTCCCCGCCCTCTACTTTGCGTACCTGCGGTGGCGGCGGCAGGCAGACGGGACGGACGACACGGTTCAGCTCCGCCCTCGTGCTCAGCTTCAGCAGGGCGATGTCATTGTTGAAGTCGCTGGGGCAGAAGTCGGGATGGACCAGCACCCGGGACACGGTCAGGACCGCCGACGCCCGTTTGTCCCGTACGTCCACCGTGCCCACCAACACCTAGTAGACAACGCACGTGCTATCACCTCACCGCATAAGTAGTTTACATGTTTTTCGGCACATCAAATACGTTTCTTTTGACTTTGAATGGGTTTCGATCAGTGAGATCAGGTGAGGGTTTTAAACTGGGGTTTGGGTATCAAACTAGTGTTAGGCTTTCCAATTTTGGTTTCAAATGGGGGTTCGAGTTTCAAATTAGGGATTTAAACTGTGTTTAGGATTTCAAAGAAAGAGTTTGTGATGTGGGTTTCCTTCTTGAGATGTGCTCAGGAGTGAACTTCCTCAAACTTGACCCAAATAGCAACCAACTGTTGTCTGCCATCACCTTGATGTGATCGGGGGCGACGGGGACCACGTGGGTGCCGCGGCGACGGGAGCGCACAACGTGGGCGGCGGTTAGGATCCACATGTCCGACAGTAGTGCGCCCGAGCCAAACCAGCGCTCCGACGGCACGCGGCTGGAGTCCTCCACACTCAGAAGAACCTGCCAGGGAAAGTTCCCCGGCTCGGCCACGCGACCACCCACAATACGCTTCACCTGGACGGCCAGCGGACGGGACGGACGGCCGCACGCTAGCGAGTGACCGTGACATAGCATGAAATGACACCATCAAAACAATATGACAACATGTCCAAACAGCAATGTGATGGCTTGTCAGCACTTACAAGGCACGCAGGGTGTAAGCTCCGCCCCCCTCGGAACATCTGGACTGCAACCATACTCTCCTGTTACACACGTCAGACAAACCAAAAGAGAGTAGTGCTGACTTTGACTTAAAGGAAGTAAGGAAGCTCAACTCTTACTTTTACTTTGACAGACGGGCAGTGCGGTATCCCAGGTGCCATCTTGCTGACAGTGCATCTCAAAGTCGGCATCCATGCGCTCACCATCCTGCTGCGGAACAAAACAAACACTTCATACTTCCTCTTGGCGTGTGTGCTACTTCCACAGGAAAATGGCCGCTAACAGCGATTGCATGGGTTTTTATTTCAAGTCGTGGCATTTCAAGATCCAGTTGGCCCGGCGACGAGAGAGATACTATGGAAACTGAGCTGACTAAGGTGTATTGACAGGGGACAGGGCGAAAGAGGAAGTGACATCACCTTGATGAGCATGAAGCCCGGCAAACATGAGACCCGGACGCGGTCTCCGGGTGAGTACTCAGGCTGGAGCGGGCTCACCGTGGCATTGGCCCCATGCACTGGAGAGGTACACTGACTTCCTGTCTCGAGAAAATAAATGGAAGGCAGGAATTGGCAAAAAGAGAATTTTGTGTGTGTGATTGAGAGAGAGAGAGAGAGAGAGAGAGAGAGAGAGAGAAAATATGACTTTAAAAAGCAAGAAGCCAGGTGGGGTGTTTCCTAGTGGGCGGGGTCCACTTGACAAAATTCCATCACCTGGATAATTTATTCATACGTTAGCTAGCTTGATTAGCACAGTTGCTCTCCGCGCATGCGTGTGACCCACCCTCAGAGGTGTACGTCATCCTCCAGCCAACGTTCTCTCCCGAGTGGTCGCTGTGAAACAAGATGGCGACGATATTGGAGTCCGTTTGGATCACGCCGGGCGACTTCCCGCCGCAAAACGGCCCAAATTCTTTAGACGCCGCTCGGATCTGAAATGCACATGCGCACGCTTAGTCACAAATTTTGGGCGCATGAACGCTCGATTCAGGTACAAAATGACCCTGTAAATAACAGGTGAAATTCAAGCCATTACCCAAGCCATCTCTTCATCATATTTATTTTTATTTCATGTTATTTGCACAAGTCTCGGGAGTTACTGGACTAACCTGGGAACTCGTGGATCGTATTTTGGGCCATGTCATGTGGCAATGTGTATTGGTATGACAAAAAAAAAAGGCCTTGGATCTTTGTATCCTTGAATTTTGAAGAAAGAAAAATGATGGCCTCAGAGGGGCAGCGTGGTGCCCTACAAGGATGGACACACTTCGAATAAGAACAGAAGTTGCGATTGAAGAATTTTAGCCTTAAGTTATCGATATGAATAAATATGTATTGCATATGTATGTGTGTTTCTAGAGTGTTAGTGTGTGAATATTCGTTATTTGAAGGTCATGACCATTTTCCGTTAGCATTAGCCGTAGCGATCTTGTAACAACGAAGCATGGTTTGGATTTAAATACACATTGTGTGTCATTATTTATGTTGTGTGTTTAGTTTTACAGTAAACTCCAACTAGGGTGTCATTAAACATCTTAAACGATGCTCAGGCACAGCAGAATCACAAACGGTATGCGACATGCCTGGTACGCAAGCAACATGGTGCATTCAGGGTACTTTCACAATGTCGGGAACTTGTAAAAGCACTTCGCCATTCTGTGCATTCATCGTTTTTCTTCAGTGATGATGTTTTAAAGTTCGAGCGAAGCCAAAATCGGAATCCCGTTTACATTTGTATGAATCGCCCAAACTATGTGAGTATCATTGTCTCTAATTGTGTGCGCGCATGCACCTTGATGAAGTCATAGGGACAGAGGGTTTGGGGGTGGTCCTCCACATCGAAAGGGTCACCAAAATGAAGGCGGAGCTTGAGCCCCGGCGACACCTGGATGACGTAGGAGCACTCGGTTCTCTTCGGGTACGGCGACGGGAAGTTGGGGCTGCTCAGGGAGCCCACGCGCTCGGAAAACACCAGGCCACTGCACTCCACTGTTCATGCACATGCGCACAATACACACTTGCATGCACGCGCACACACATAACACACACAAAAACACACACAGTCAGAACATACACTTCATCAATCAAGCTGCATGTGTGCGTGTGAGTAGAAAAATGCAGTTCCCTGTAAATATTTACAAGAAATCTGCCAGTGCTATCAGTCACACAAGGGCCTCATACACCCACACACGCGCACGCATAGTTGTTATATCTGTTGTGTAGCTTTTAGGTTGAAAAGGTCATTAGTGTGCTTGAACATTTTGGCGCTGATCCAAATTGGACACGTTTTTGTTTGGACCAACATTCGGCCTTTCACACGCATTCAGTGACTTCAGTGTGTGTGTGTGTGTCCGTGTGTGTGTGTGTGTGTGTGTGTGTGTGTGTGTGTGTG